GAAGTGAGAAAACTCGTGGGTTGAGATAAGAACAGTTTAATAGTTGAAATAAATTAGTAATAATAATAACAAGAATAATTAAAATATACAAAGCAAGTGATGCACAGTGCAATTGCTCACCACCCACTGACCGATGCCCAGCCAGTCCCCGAGCAGCAGCCCCCCCGAGCCAGCTTTCCCCCAGTTTATATACTGAGCATGACGTCACATGGTATGGAATATCCCTGTGGCCAGTTTGGGTCAGCTGTCCTGGCTGTGCCCCCTCCCAGCTTCTTGTGCCCCTCCAGCCTTCTCAGTCGGTAGAGCATGGGAAGCTGAAAAGTCCTTGACTAGTGTAAGCACAGCTTAGCAACAACTAAAACATCCGTGTGTTATCAATGTTATTCTCACCCTGAATCCAAAACACAGCACTGTACCAGCTACTAGGAAGAAAATTAACTCTATCCCAGCCAAAAACAGGACATGGTCTCATTCTGTAACAGCAGAAAGAAACTGGTAGAGTTGTTGGCCTTCAAAATTCATTACCTCGCATCAGAAAGAGCTCTCTATGCTTTTTGATGGAGTACACAACCCTCATTTTGTGACTCAGTTGTTTATTCAGAAGCTGGGAAAGAAAAGCCAGAGGACAGCAACACAGCCAGTCAGGTGTTTTTACCTACTTGGCTTTTCTGCCCAAGTTATTTGCCCAACAATCAAAGGATTGTTTTCAGGAAGAGAAATTGAGAACAAGTTTGGAGAAGTTGTTATATCATGGCAACTGCAATTGATTGCTTATGCTGCCTCAAATATACACACTTGGAAACTATTTAAGATTCTAAGACAGTTTATCAACTAGAAGTCCCTAGAATGACAAACTAATTAGACTGGATTTCTCCAACTAATATTGGATTTCAAAAGCGAGACTGTAATTTATTATAATTCTTAGAATTATTTCAAGTAATTAAAAGTTCCATGCTAATGTAAGATCCACAGTTTTCCACAAGACATCACCAAGTTTTTACTCACTAAAGGACTGGAAAATGTTCTTTCAAAGCACTCTAAGAAACTGTCGTTGAACTCAGGCAAGCCACTGCAAAACAGTCCTACTACTATTTTCTAAGTATTTCACTGGAGTTCAAAGCAGTATTTTGAAAGTTTATCAAACCAGCGATAAGAAAATATAGTTAATTTCAGGAAGGCAATACTAATCAGCAATAAGACACACACACCCCCTTCAAATATCTGAATGTGACAATTTTAGTATTTTCTTCCATATAAAGCTATTTCACATGATCGTCTCCCAAGACAGATGGCAATCATTTATGAACTTAGCTATTGTTTGAATGACAGTTATCAATGTTAGCGATACATACATCTAACAAGCATCTGTAAGGTATTTTCTCTTATACACCTTAGTTGTATATCATGTGGCATCATAAGATTTGCCCAAAGTTTTATCAACATAAAAACTTCAAGATTTTACAAAAATATACAAAACAAAAGCTTGAAAACTGATCAGAAAAGAAAGCATAGTTAAAAAAAGCATAAGTGATTGACTTAAGTGAGGACAGAAACACACAGGGGTATTACCTTCAGAAACTAAATCAGAATGGCAGAAGGACTCAAAAGCAACAGCAAAAATAGGATAATTGGATGAACACCAAAAAAAATTCTTTAAAAGAAACAACCATTAGCACATTTAAAAACACAACCATAAGTAGCAGAGGTTTTTATGCTTAACTGTGTTATGTCAGCTACCTGGAATTCCTATTTTTCCCACCTTAACAGAATCTTTGACCAAACTGAATTACAGACATAATCCTTGAGCAGGCTCTCTATGTCAAGTTTCAGAAAACCAGCAATTTGACAGTATACCAGTAAAACGCAGATGATGTGCTAGGCTAGCACACCAGCTGTAAAACTTTGGCATTTAGAATCTGCCTTCAGTCACAAGCGTACATCCCTTAGGGTATCCTGATCTTTTTCTTGATGTGACAAAAGTTATCACAAGTACTAGCAACTAAGCCTGACCGTTTTGGCTTTAAGTAAATTTAGAACTGTGTTATTGGCAATGACTGGAGAGTTCAGGCATGGATACCTGGCAAAGCTTGTTTTGACAACAAATTCAAATTCATATTTGTTCAGATTCTCCTGTTAATTGTACAAAAATGTTAAAGTTGTGTATTAATAAAAAAATCTATCTATATATAAATGCATGAAGTCTGGTGGGTTTTTTTCCAGTCTCCCCTCATTCTCTCCAATGGTTCTCGCCCTCCTTCACAATCCTAAACTTAAATTTATTTCTCCTTTTGGAATTAATTCCAGGTTAGGCAGCTATGCTGAGAAGAGCCTGGTCTCATCTCCAGGCACCAATCCCGCCTATATTTACTACCACAATATACATTATGGGGACACTTGCGTTCTTTAGACTGAGAGAATAGGAACTCCCAATTTTGTCTAACATTAGCACGCATTTTTCAAAGCACAGGCATCTCAAATGGAAAGGCTACAAAGTAAGCGAAGTAGCCGGTTCTTCACCTAAGCAAACAAAACTGGTAGTTCCACTCCCGTAACCCTGAAATCAACAATACAAAAAGGATATCCTGTCCAGGAAGCAAAAACACACTAATCTGTATTATTCTCACTATCTTTAAAATTGTTTTTCCTTATTTTCACAAAGCCTTTGAAGAGCTATAAAACTGAAGATCTGTTAGTAAAGGAGGCAAGCAAACCCCTGCCATTCAGAAGCCATTTCAGTTCCCTTTTCCCCGTCTCCTAACTGGCACTGCTACAAATACACTCTTCCCACTTCAAGGCAGGCAAAAGTCGAGAGCTGCAAAATCATGTATGAATACTTAAGAAACACAATTTTAAATGACGAATGATGTGTTTCCAAAACAGATTAGCTATAAAAAGGAAAAATAAGTACTCGTCAAGTTCTTAATGACTTGTTTTCTCTCAGGCTACTTATAAACCCAGTTAGTCAAAACAGAATAACAAACCAGCCTACCTTAGAAGTAATCCATTTGATAAGGATCAGAGCTAAACACCAGATCAATGCAATTCCCATTGGATCACCCCGAAGACCTGAAGCATAACCTCCTCCCCGATCCCCGCCAGTGCTGGCAGCTGTGTGAGGGCCGAAGAGCCCGAGCGGTGGCGCGCAGCGGTGAGGCAGAAGGCGGGCGGGCAGGCGGGCAGGCGGGAAAAAAAAACCTGCACCGCCAGCAGCTGCGCGAAGGCTGCGGTCACCCGACAGCCCAGCCACTCGCTCCGCGGAGCGGCGCTGCCCTGTACGCCCCGCCGCCGGCTCCCCGCTCAACGAGAAAGTTTTACAACCGGGGGACACGGCAAACAGTAAAACCTTGCTAAACCCTACAGAAACGCTAAGGGAGATGAAAAACTACGATTACATGCTTTTATAACACATTTTAATACAGCAAAGTGTGCTAGACTACAGGATCAAACTCCAGCACTCAAACCACCTGAGCTAATTCAGGATACTGCCTTGCCTTTAAATGCTATCAAGAGCCTGTTTCCAGCAGATTTCACCACAGCTGATACTCAGAAGTTCCTTTTATCTCTGCCGCCTGGAGAACTGCTATGAACTGAACTTCAAAACGTATTTCAAGATTGCTTTTATAGCAACCTACTATAAATAATGAAAGAAAGTTAATGCACTGAATACGTGCAATCACTGAAACCAGTCATGATCCTCTCATCTCCTCTTTTGTCCACTAAATACCAAGCCATCCTTCACACTACCCTTCTAGCCACACATACTCATGCCTGAACTGGCACGTTGCTTCGGTTTATTGCTCCAAGGGTTGAACTTGCCTACAATCCCCCTCACACCCACCCCACCACCCCCCGGCACTTTCCAGGGTTGGAAAGCAGACTAACTTCCTCTGAGAGCCCCGATTATGCAGCCAAGCGGTCCGATGTACTTGGTGCAGCTTTGAGATGCGTTTCCATTTTCGTCATTTTAAGCTGACAAAATGTTTCATGTCAGAAATACAAAGAAATCTCAAATAGTTTGGAAAAAAAGCAGCTACGGAGGGAAAAAAGGAACAGCGTGTGGGATACTGAGTTTAAAAGGATGAAGTTGAATAATTGAAAGATAAATTTTATGAAGATTCTGCTCTTCCTATGATTATTTTTTTATTATAAGATGATCATATTGCAAATTCCAATATGTGCGCAAAATACAAGTTAGCACAGATTACAAAAGGAGTAACTTTAGCACTGAGAAATTAATTTCCTCCTACCCACAGGAAAAGGGGACACATACCACAGCGGATGTTTACTGAATGAAGGAGAAGACTCAGTAACTGGGATAGGGCTCTTTGTTATTTTATAATATGATTCCCAAATATTTGTGCTGGCTAAGCCATAATCACGATCTCGGCACCAGCTGTGGGTTCTTACAGCACCATTACATTCCAAACACATACCTTCTGCTCTCTCCCCTCCCCATGCCCCTGAAAACCAGTCAGATCAAAAACATAGGCAAGAACATTCAGAATAGACTTTTTGGTACCTCACTTAATGAATACAGCACTTACCTAAAGGTCTGCCAAGTTCCACCCAAAATACAAACTGTCACTGAGGTAGATTTAAAAACATTACCATCTCCAAACACTCGACAAGGTTAAGACACCCCGACAATTAGTCATCACCAGTCTGATGTTACTTAAAAAAAAAAAAAAAAACCAACAAACTAAACCCCACAATAAATGGCATTAGGCTGTATCTGCATTAGCAATTTGGCACAACTGGAGCAGATCAAAACACAGGTGCTGCTGAGGTCTTTACACCTATACTATATGAAGCCCAGCAGGCTTTTTTTGCAGGCCACATTTACTCAAACTTCCTGAACTGGACCCCACCACAGGAGGTTCAAAGCTGCCAAAAATGACTGATAACTGGTCAAACCTCTATGACCCTATCAAGGATTAGAGTACATTTGGTGCACGCAAGGAGTGGAATGGCTTAGTTTCTTTTGAAAGGAGCCTAGTTAGCACATACCAAAACCACTCTGAAAAACAAATAAATGGGCATGATAAACAGGGACAATGAGGTGATTTGCTTCAAGACTGAACTCTCCTCCAAATAAAACTCTAACACAAATAGCCTTATACTCTTTGAAAGGTCAAGCATTTCTCTCCGTCACCACTATTTTCAATCCCTGATCAGCCTTCTCTGTTTTTCTGTCTCAAAACACATGAAGATGTTCTTGGAGTCTGTGGATGGTCTTATCCTGGGTGCGTGGAGCAAGCCCTTCTTCCACCAATGTCGGAAACACAACATTATCTTAGAAAACACAGTGATACAAAGTAATCACCCTTTCCTCTTTTGTCTTCCAATAGTAAGTGGTTTAATTAATTAGCCTTCTCTTACTGAAAGTTTTTTCTTAGAACTATTGTCTCATGCATAAGTTTAATACCAGAACACAGGAATAAAAATATCTGCCCATCTGTTAAGCACCACTACAGCATTATTTGTTTTAACTATGGCTTGGAAATGGAAAGACTGTTTCAGAAATAGGATTCTGAATTTGGAGACAGAGGAAGACCAAAAAGTGCACTGGTTTGTATGAGAAGTATAAGAAATCAACAAAGAAGCTAAAGTGCTTCTTTGGGGGAAAGTACTGCTTTGAATAACCCCATTAACAATTTGAAGGTGAAATAAATGATGTTTTACAAGTATACGAAAGAAATTATTCAAGGTCATTATCAAGTATGGTAAACCCTCAGGTACAAGTCTACATAAAAATAAGATAGTACTAAATTCCCTCTGTGATAACATGCTACCTATTATACTACCTAAGTTCTGGGAGTGCAATCAGTGACCCTTGGGCCGTGGGCATCACCATCAGTCTCAGCTTCATCTTGAAATGAGGGAGCACACCAGAAAGAACAGCTATCATACATTGCATTTTTTGTCTTTTAAAAATTATGGAAGTTCCTAAGGCTGTTTCATTTTCTTTCTTCTTCTCTTTTTCTTCCCTGCTTTTTAGGAGATTCTTTTTCAGTTTTTCTAAAATTAATTTTCCTCAATGCATGCAGAGATACCATGTTTGATAAGGTAAGATTTCCAGTACTTAACACTCAAATATAGCATACAAGTCATTATCTAGTTCCTTTGTCCTTACCATCAAGCTCAAATGTGCAATTGCTGCCTCTTCCCATTTCCAAACAAACATAAATATCCCAATGACTTTGATGTAAACTTAGTGATAGACGACATTGTAGAGGCATCTAAGCAGTCAAAGGCATGTTTTGCCACAATTTTTGCATTTGCTGAGTAAACCTTTCTGTGTAATTCCTTGTAAGACAGGAATTCATTATCAATACAGCAGAAAGCACCTGGGGTCTTGCAACAGTTGTTACAAAGATTCCACTAAGGAATTTGCTAAAGATACCAGTTTGCTCTCATTGTGAAACTGGCATCACATGGCATCAGCTCCCACCAATTAAAAGCAGCTTGCCATTAATATGCCACAGTGATTTGCAAGGATCCAATTATTTCCATATATGCTCCTAGAGATCTTCAAGGCTCCACATGGAAACCCGGTATTTCCTCTTAGCGTACTCTTATTTGAAGTACCAAGTACAGGATCCCAGTTTTACTTGTGTATTTCTAAATACCCATCTGTTCCAACCCTTTTTTTTTTTTTAATAAATTTCAGCAGTCCTGAATAATGACTCAGTGTTGCCTTACAACCTCAGTAACCACTATATGTACAGAACTGTCTTTAAATGTTCCCCCCCAAAAAAAAACGTTTCAATAACACCTACAGGAAATCCAGGTTGAAGCAACAGCACTGTATTTCACAGGCATTATTGGGTCTCATATGATGCTCCTGTTTAAATGCAGCAGGGCTTCACAGATCTCCATCACCACGAGTTTTTACACATAAGTTTGAGGCCCATTGCTAATCACTCCTACTTGCCAGAATGACCTGATTTCACATGCATGCACTTGTACACCTGGCCCAGAAATGAGATCCCCATGGAGTCCCCTTTGCCCTTCAAAAACCCCTTCCAGAACAGCCACAGAACAGTGGCTTGCGGCACACCGATTTCTAGGATACACTCCTGACTGGCATATTATCTGTTATGGACCAGTTGGGGAACTTAACCGTATTTATATTAACAGCATGTAAAGACAGCAGAGGAATAAGCCTATCATTCACCAATTCATCAGCACGTAGTGAAAAAAAAACAACCCACACAGCTCTCAACTAATTTCCATCTTTTCTTCGCTTTTCTCCCTGCCTCATTATCTATCATGTGTGATCTCTCTCTCCAGCAGACTTCACTACAAAGAATAATTAAATGGTAATCTGCGAGAAGTATTCTTGTAACAAATGTGGGTAGCTATTGCTGCAGCACAACCCAACCACTAAACACTGCACTCAAGGAAAAAATAAGAGGAAAATATGCCATTATTTCTACAGATACTGAGAGCAGACCTTTCAGAATTTCACAATGTATACACAATGACCAACTTTTACAAATGCTACTTCTGTTTGTCTTAATTTAAAATGTTATCTAAGCATTTTACTTTCAATTCAGCTTCTTATTTAAAAGATTTGCCATCTTAGCCTGTGTTGCAACTAGGTACAAGATTTCAACTTTTCTAACTGATATTAATAAAATCATAGAATCATTTAGTTTAGAAAAGACCTTTAAGATCATTGAGTCCAACCGTAAACATAACACTGCCAAGTCTACCGCTAAACCATGTCCCTAAGCGCCACATCTACATGTCTTTTAAATATCTCCAGGGATGGTGACAACCACATAAAGCTACATATCAGCTAGTAAGCAATAAGCAAACATGAAAAATTGAAGTTGGCAAAATTCACCTTTGTTACCACATATAAATCATCATTACTTCCTAACTCATTGCAACTAAACTCAAAAGGCTGGCTGATCTTAAACGAAGGGCTTAGAACTCCAGAACGTGATCTTCCAAAGCCAAGGATAGCTACAGATCCAGAAGGCAGAATTTGGCAATTTCCTTAAAGACCACTTTTCATTTTTAGAACTCTTCCATTTCAGTCTTCAATAAGATAGAAAAAGAAAGAACCCCCCTTAGAAAAGAAAGGATCCAATCTCAATGAACGAAAGGA